TGCGCGGCAGCAGCAGCAGCAGCAGCGATCGCACAGCAGCAGCGATCGCGAAGTAGCAGCAGCAGCAATCGCACAGTAGCAGCAACAGCGCACAGCAGCGGCAACATTGATCGCACAGCAGCAGCGCAGCGGCGATCTCGCAGCTCCAGCAAGATTCGTGCGCAGCAGCAGTAGCGATCATGCATCAGCAGCAGATAACAGGATAGCAGTAGCGATAGGACACCCGCAACTGCAGCGGTCTTGCCACATGCCACCGTGAGTTTGTTCCAACCGCAACAGCAGCAGCCGTTGTCTCGCCATGCGCAGCGTAAGCAGCAGCGGCTCGTCTCATAGCAGCAGCAACCGTCCCGGCAGCAGCAGCAGTCATAGTCGCTGCAGCAGCATCGCCAGCTCCAAGAGGTCGCAACGACCGCAGCCGCCGAAACGAACACCTCCTATGCAGCAGTATCGAGGAAGATCGCCACTGGTAGAAGCAGCGGCAATATGTTCCGCGCAGTATGTTGCACGTAGATGTATCAGCAGTGTATATTATGATTTTGCCATACAAAAAACGATTTTTGTACTTGCAATTGCAGAAACTTCCAGCAGATATCGCTTCATTCGTAGAAGCAGCATGTACGAAGTTCTCGTCATGTACGAGGTAGCAGCAATGGCGGGCGAGTTAGTCTAGGAGGGTGGAAAAGTTCCCTAGGTGTGCTGTTCTAGATTCAGATCTAGAAATGATTCGACTAGGTGGCAGGTCTGTGGACCTGCCACGAGATAAGGAGCAGATGACTCCTTACTGTATAATCCTTTACAAGTCTTGTCATAATCTTTAAATTTTGAAAATTGTATTTAAAAAATTTACATACTGCCTCTTGGTACACCGGGCAGTCTAGCGCTGAAACCCCAAGCAGTTGGAAGCAATGCATGGAGCAGAACGGGATGTGATGGTGGATGGCAGGTAGCACGGCTGGGAGGCGAGGTTGCATCAATGCTTGCCAGCACGACGTTGACAAAACGGGCCACTGGACCACAGGTGCAACACATGGGCCAGAATCCCTCGCAGCGCAGCCTGCCAACGTCGCTGTGCTGCAAACTTGTAATTGGTCAAGTCACATAATGTTGCAACTGTGGCCAATGATCGGTCACGGCGCGCCAACTAAGGTGCCATCAGTGTGGGCAAAATTGTTCGGTAGTCACCGACAGGCCCTGCTGACACCCTGGGAATCCGATTTTCCCTGTACTTCCGGTCAAGTACACTCGGACCATGTAGGATTCGCTTTCAGGGTCAAACTCGATACAACGTAAAGGCATCAGTGTCACTTTGAAAAAATTGCTGAAAGTTCAGAGTCATGTGGCATGTGAAGGCTGAATATTCAGCCCAAGGAAAATCTGAACACTGGAAATTCAGGGTAGGTAAAAAAAAAACCCTGAAAATCAGGAATTTCAGGGAAAAATTCCTGATATCGTAGGGCCTGCTTACCACACAAGACCTTTCCACTGCGGTCCAATCAAGTCTCTCATGCATCGACGGCTTCTCGTCCTCATTACCGTCTCGCTTCCAGGAGTACGATTGTGAGACCATGCCGTACAATGTCAGGGAGGGGTAGAACTTGCCCGCATACGCCGCTGTATGAGAGAAGCGAGTCGGGAAGAACATGGCCTGCAGGAATGGAGCACGGATGAAAGGAGGCCTGAAGTTCCTCCATTGCACAGTTGCTGCCTTCAGCTGCTGCGTAATATTTAGAGTGTCTTCCACACGTGAATCTTTTTCTCCAGTGAAAGCTCTGAGGGAGTTCACGACAATCCCGAGGCTCTTCAGTCTTGTCCACTCCACATCCACCTTCTCCAAAGGGAGATCGTGCCTCACTATAAGCACCTCCACTGACGGCGCTATAGCAGCAAGCCACTGCGTCAAGGAAGGATGAGAAATGTTAGCAGGAATCACCTCAGCACTACTGTGCGGGCTGAAGATCCCCTCCATGGTGGGTCCATTCAGATAGACGGTTCTGGCAGATCTGACGGGGAAAGATGAAGCATCTAGCAACTGGCAGCCGTAGAGCATGAGATGGTCAAGAGAAAGCGGGGTTTTGGCCTTGCAGGCAAGCTCAACAGGCGTTCCTATAGCGGTGAAGGACTTGAGCGAGGAAGGGAGGGTGAGGTTGAGTCTGAGATGCTGATAGCGGAAACGAAAGCGGATGACTCGAGCGACAGAGAACTCGAAGACAAAGCTGCTAAGGCCCATGTTGCGTCGGTCGCGTGAGGTACTGAGATATAACCTTGGACCGTCAAGAGTGAATTCGTGCAGCTGTGGTGTTAAGGTGGCAAGGAACATCATGTCCCCGCTTCTGCATCTCACATCCTTAATGGTCAAAATGCGCAGAGACCTGAACCATCTCAGGTCTAGCAATCCCAGTTTCCAATTGCCGGAACACAACTTGAGCCGCTGCAGGTGCCCGAAATCCTTCAGAAAGGAGAGATGGGTTTCCTTGTATGACCCACGAGGCTGTCTAAGGTGTAAGCGAGTGAGAGAGGGCTTGGGGGATGAAATCAGATGGCGAGGAGATCGGAGTACTTCAGTTGAAAGGGAGATGTCAAGAGACTTGTGCTTGCTCTGCTTGAGAAACCAGCAAAACCTCGTCATCCACTCGGGGTAGTGCTTGTTGAACTTGAAAGAGAGGGGCTTTGACTCCTGCAAGCAAGAATTTACAGGAAATCTGAAACAATGTTTACCATGGCCACCAAAATATGTCAAGGAACCCGTGACTTCTACCAATATGACATAAAAAATAACATTCCCCTTCGACACAAAACACGACTCATAACAACTAATAGATCTGAAAGCTTACAGAGTTCTGGCACTAAAAAAAAAAGACCTTACACACCGAGAACGAGAGGACATGGTGGAGTAGCCTTTTGCTGGCAGCAGCACAGGAGAGCAGAGCTGCTGCGGAGCCATAAGATTGAAGTAGGTCCTTATGTTGGTTGCAGACAGCATCATACTCAGCGACGTGAGAATCATGTAGACGAAACCACGCTTCATCATCCAAATCAGGACCCGCTAGCTCTGCAGGGTCTGGCGGAGAAGGCGGCGGCAGAACCAGACGGCGGAAGATGATGTGCCAGAGGTGCGCAGGCAAGCGGTCCACCAAATCACAGCTCTGATGGCGGGAGGAAAACGTACGAGAGAGAAACGAGATAAAAAAATTAAGATGGGTGAGGCACAAGTATGTTGTCACATGGTCCATAAAAGCCTTTTTGAAAGTTGATTTCTTCTCAATGCAACAGAAAAGTGCATAAAGAAATGGCACTGGCACGAAAGGAGGCAACGGTAGTTCAGAGCTGGCGTTAGCTAACACTTACGCTAGCAGTCGCACTGGAGGGATCGGTTGTGAGTTGTAACGCGTGCATCTTCTCCAGTACCTTCTGGTTCTCAAGGTCAGCCATTCCAGGCGACAGACTGATGCAGGTGACAGATCGAATCGAAACCCTTAAAGCCGAGTGAAGCAGATGTCTCGTTGTTCCAGTGAGGCTTGTTGCACCAAAACACACCGTTTCTAAGTCGCGGCTGCAAATGTTCTTCTAGACAGATCACACAGCAAGTATGATTGCCTGCGCATCATTCGCCAAAAATTCCGCACTGAAGGTAAACGAGTAGTTCGCGCTCACAGCGTCATCGTCACGGCTCATCGAGGTTGTCCCGGTCCTGGCCTCGCAGCGCCTTGTCATGATTCCTCTCGAGTCCGGCCACAGCTCTGGGAACACTCTAGAAACGCATTTCTAGGTTTCTGACCTTGCTAAACGTGGAATTCATTCAGCAACGTGGTTTCTGTCCACGTGGAATTTACTCAGCAACCTTATCTAACTCAGGTTCCCCCTGATTATCGAGGAAGGAACGCATGGGTCGGAAGGAGCTATGACCACAGCTGGCTGGCTGGCCGGGGCGTCGTTTGGCATTCCAGCAATTCCCAGAGGCAATGTCTCGTTATACCACGAATGACAGGGCGTGTAATTTGAGTAATCAACATCACAGTTTTTGGGTTGCGTAGCAACCTTATACATTCGTTTTCACTTTTCGGTTGGCTGATGTGAACAGTGAATTTCTCTTATAAATTTTGAAAGAAATCACTGTTCACATAGCTTCCCCAAAAAAATGAAAACAAATGTTTCCAATCATTCCATAATCGTCGATAAGTACGGCGAATGGAACAATTGGAGAATTGTTCTAGCACTAAAGATGATACGGTACCGAATGACACACGAACACAAAGGACAACACAAAAAATACTACAGTACCACCGAGAGACACATACACAAATGACCACAAAAACGATGGTGTACAAGAACCGTCGTACATGTTTTGAAGGGGATACTAAATGCATCAATGCAACAACTGAGACTGATATGGTACGGAAGAGGCGAGCAAAGCTGCCCCACCGACGATCACAATCCCAGTTGCATACACGATACACTTAGCACCACACCCCCGAAACAAGCACAGACGATAACACATAAATGATTACGAAAACAGAAGACAACGTTTTAGAATGTTTCAAAGCGAATGCTAAATGCATCAGTGCTGCAACTGAGATTGATATGGTACGGAAGAGGCTAGCAAAGCTGCCCCACCGACGATCACAATCCGAGTTGCATTCACGAGGCACTTAGCACCACACCCTGAAGCACGCACAACACATGTATGCACATGTACGCACTCACACACATACAGGCTCACACATATACAGACACACACAACGCAAAACATACAGCTATTGTAATAAGCATGCAAGCATAATGAATGAATTTCAGCCTTGTATAAAGTAATTAACTCTATCTTGTCCCCCGTTCCCCTCCCTCCCTCCCTCCCTCCCTCATTTCCCTTATCTCCCTTCTCCCCATCCCTTTTCTCCGCAAGAAACAAAGGCTGCAGCATGGACTCCCTGCACAGGAAAGGAAAATCAGCGAATGCAACTCACTCCCTGCACAAACAAGAACAAAATAAGAGAATACAACTTGCATTAGTTGCACAAGAAAACAAAATCAGAGGAGGGAGAGGCGACGGCGGGGAGGAGGGAGAGGCGACGGCGGGGAGGAGGGAGCAGCGACGGCGGGAGGGAGGGAGCGGCGACGGCGGATGGGAGGGAGAGGCGACGGCGGGGAGGAGGGAGAGACGACGGCGGGTGGAGGGAGAGGCGACGGCGGGGAGGAGGGAGAGGCGACGGCGGGGAGGAGGGAGAGGCGACGGCGGGGAGGAGGGAGAGGCGACGGCGGGGAGGAGGGAGAGGCGACGGCGGGGAGGAGGGAGAGGCGACGGCGGGGAGGAGGGAGAGGCGACGGCGGGGAGGAGGGAGAGGCGACGGCGGGGAGGAGGGAGAGGCGACGGCGGGGAGGAGGGAGAGGCGACGGCGGGGAGGAGGGAGAGGCGACGGCGGGGAGGAGGGAGAGGCGACGGCGGGGAGGAGGGAGAGGCGACGGCGGGAGGAGGGAGAGGCGACGGCGGGGAGGAGGGAGAGGCGACGGCCGGGAGGAGGGAGAGGCGACGGCGGGGAGGAGGGAGAGGCGACGGCGGGGAGGAGGGAGAGGCGACGGCGGGGAGGTAAGGAAGAGGAGATCGCAGGGTGGGGCTGAGTGACTGTGAGGTGAATAGGAGAGGTGAAGGCGGGTAGTGAGGGAGAGGATACGGCGGGATAGGAGCAAGAGCGACGGCTGGGTGGGAGAACTGGCGAGAAATTGGGGTGGGGGGAAGGAAGAGGAATAAGAGCAGAGCAGGTGTGCTTGTCGAGTCGAGAGGAACCAGAACAAAAGAACCAAGAACAAGAAAAGAGCGCAGAAATTGAGTTGGCAGCTGTGAAAGGGACGGATGCCAGCGCAGAGATGAAATTTCTGCCAGCGCAGAACAAGACAATTTCTGCCACCGCAGAACGATACAATTTCTGCCAGCGCAGAACGACGCACCATATACATTATCCCGTTTTAAGTTAACATGAAGAAATTAATTAATTGCTTCTTTAAGCAAAATATGATGATATTGTACTCTTTCATAATGTTCCTTACACACGGAATACAGCTCTACAAAACCCTTCCGACGTCAACGTCGAGTCTTTTTTTTTTTTTTTTTTTTTACGTCAGAGGGGATCTGCGATACTGGTTATTGTAGCGCTCCCCTCACCATAACAGTTAAGAGTGTCTATGCCTTTGCATTCATGTAATGTATAAAATAAAAAAAGACATTTTTAGAACCACTTATCTCACCACAAGTAATTACACAAACCATCATATTATTACATCCAGTAGTAATGTTATTGTTACTATCATTTTTCTGTAAATAATATTTCTGTTTGGGTAGACAATCATTTGTCTAGTCGTTAGTTGTAACACACATACGGATATGCGTTATGAGAAAAACCAATTACAGATGGGGAGATCATACATGGAGATCAGTTAGCTCATATCGAGTTTCCAGCACCTACGCAACCCATACGACGTTGAACGTCGAGTCTTGTTTTTTTTAGTCTAGATGTAATGTAAAGAATGTTTTCACGTAACATTATAAACTGCACTTCATTTTCCGTAGGTGTCTGAGTGTAGGCAGACGACAAAGCGATGATAACAAAATGGGAGGGACAACAATGGGACGAAAATCGAACAAACTTTTCATTACACAAAAGAAGGCATGAACTAAGGGTACCCGTAATCCCCCGTATATAAGACCCTAGGGTATTATGATAATCACCCCTTAAAAGGCTGGGGGGTATAATTAAATGGTATATTTTTTAGAAGACCCGGGTCTGTTCACATTGACATTTATAAGAATGCACGATGTTGTACATTTCAGTCTCGTAAGTTCAATCGAATCAAACTTTTACAGCGTCCTGAATCAGAATCGCGCGAGGGCGTTTCCCTGACTGTGCACAGAGATTTGGCACGTCACTTTGCCCGCGTGCCAGCTCATCCTGACTGGACGCGCAACAAGTGAAGCCTTCGAAAGTCAAACACATTGAAAATGGGTGTTGACTCATTTGAAATTCGAAATTCGTTACCATTTTCAATTGCCTTATTTTGTAAAATCCGCACTTCTCTAGGATGTGGGGGGGTCTTATAATGTTAGGAACTATTTAGGGGGGTATAACTCAACTAGACTCGAATAGAGTACCCGGGTCCGTATTATAGACCCGGGGGTCTACAACTGGGGGGGGTCTTATATACGGGGGATTACGGTACATTCCGCTGTGGACACTGTCCCAATCGATGTGTCCCAATCGAGTGTACCGCTCCGAACCGAACTGAACCAGAGACGCGAAAATTTCGAAACTAGGGTGCATTTTGGTGTAATACGATGCAGTGCGGTAGAAACGATTGAGACACTTTCGATTGGGACATGTCCAGCGGGGAATGTACCCTAACTTGACAACCACCACATTCAGCTCGTTCCTCTGGAGTGAAAAATGCCCCACCAGCCCAGCAATATGCTTGGCCTTTATCTAAGGGTACTACTCAACTCACACATATCCCACCAATTCCTCCATCATGTCAGGCACACACCACCCTATGGTCAGACCACTGTCACAACTGCAATAAGCACTCAGAAAGCTTCCTCGTCCCAGCATACACCTTCCCCACAATTGAATCGCCCCAACATCCCAGCAGCGTACAGCTCCCTTCTCTGCACCTCTCAACCAAGACCACGGCTCCACGCACTCGCTACCTCAGCCAGACCTCTCCTTCTCCTCTAAAAGAGCGAATCCACTCAGAGGCTTTGAAGAAACTGCATAATCCGAGCATCTTGGATCATGTCTTGGCTCATGGTGTGTACAGAGGAATATGCCCTCACCTGCACTGCAGGCCCATTGCTCCGCTTCTCCCCCTCCCCCTCCCACCGAAACGACCGCCCAACAATGCAGTAGAACGTGAGTGAAGGGAATTGCCTGCGCAGAGAACGCAAGCTGCTGGGCTGCCAGTGCTGCGTGGCGAAGAAAATCGAGTGCAGTTTTGGAGCATTGATGATAAGGGGGAAGATGCCTTCATCCTCATTGCTGGTGTTTTCCTCTCCTTCCCCACCGAACAACATCCTTTCGAAATGAGCACGTTCAATTTCCTGCAATGTGAGCATGCCCCCACCACCGCTTCTCCTGCCCTTCACGCCAATCCCAAGGCAGCGCAGGCGGCTCCACTCCGCATCCACACTCTCTAGCGGCCAGCCACGCCTCACTACAAGCGTCTCCACTGTCGGCGCGATGCTGCTGAGCAGTCGGTTGAAGCGAGGTACATTCCAGGAAGGTGAATTTGAGGTGTGCCGGCCATTCAAGTAGACTGCTTTGGCAGAAGCCAGTGGTGGGAGGGAAGAAACAGCAAACGTCCTGTGGGCAATCAGAGTCAGAGAGTCAAGAGAAAGAGGGCTGGAGCACTCGCAGTTGATCTCCAGATTTCCTGCTTTGAGAGAGAGTATCTTGAGAGTGGGAGGGAGAGAGAAGTGAACAGCAAGGCTGTGCTGCCCGAAATTGACTTTGACAGCTCGAGCAACAGAGAATTCGAGTCGGAGGCTGCAATATCTATGACCATAGGAGGAGAAAGAGAACTCATGCAGCTGCGGTGCGATGGAGGACAGAAATTTAACATCGTTTTTGTCCCAGTCCCAATGCCTGATCGTCAGATTCCTTAAAGCCGTGAACCATGCTGCATCCAAACTCCCTAGACGCCACATCCCACGTCCCAGCTCCAGCCGCTGCAGCTGACTAAACCTCTCAAGAAAGGCTGGATTGATAAGCTTGTATTGGATGGGTACACTCTGATAAGAAGAATTTCGAATTGCTAGGCACAAAGCTATGAGGGAGTGAGCGGAGGATGTTATAAGCTGCCCGAGGCTCTCGAGGTCCGTCAAGTTGAGAAAGAAGAGGTCAAGGGTCGTGAGACCTGGCAATCTAAGGAACCAAGAGAGCGATCGTGTCCACTGGGGTTCCTGATCGTTGAACGTGAGCGAGATGAACTCGCACTCCTGCTGCAGGAGAAACAGAGAACACAGAGAAGAAACAATATAGTTCTGCTGCTCATTCGAGCAGCCAGATGACAGAGGAGCTTGGCAATCAGAGTTTGGCATCCAAAGCAGAACTTGCCATGCAATGAGATGGATTCTGGTTGTGCGGTGGAACAAGGGAAGCATGGGGTGAAGGCATGAGTGGTGGACCATGATGGGGACATGTGAAGGCAGGTGGGTGGAATGAGGAACCAGCGCTCTGCACCACTCACAGAGAAGGAGACGACGTGGTGGAGGAGCCTCTTGCTGGCCATGGCGCAGGGCAGCAAAGCCCAAGAGGGGCCGTAACGCTTTATGTCCTTGTCATGCTGCTGTCTGGCTGAAAGCGGGCTGGTAGTGGCAGGCGAATCGCTGCCTTCTCCCTGCTGTAATTGAGCAGAAAATTCTGTGGGAAGCAAACCGACCAGGTCAAACAGGTTTCTAACTGCTTCCCGTGACGATTCTTTCTCCGAAGACTCGGCCCTGTTTTGCTGCAGAGTGGAACCGCCTGGCGGATCAAGCAGAAGGCCGAAAATGATGTGCCAGATGGGGCCGGGCAGCAGATCAACCACGTCCACGCCCTGGTGTGTAAGAGAAGAAGTATGACGGATGAGAGAGGAAGAGATAAAGAGAGGGAGAGAGAGCTAGGCGACGGACCAGAAAACTTAGATGCACTGTTCAAGGCTCCAAGCTCACCTCGTGAGAACTCTCAGCAGCACAGGCCTCGGTGAGTTTGGGAGCACGCATGCTCTCTTCTGGCACCGCATTTCCACAGCTAGTAGCCATTGGCGCTGTAACAACCATGGACTTAAAGTCTGCCTGGCCCTACACAAGGCTACAACGACGCATCGCTTGTTCGAGTACGGAGGGACACAAATAAGCGAAACATGTAATTATTATTATTTGAGTTCGGAAGTGACTGATACAATCGAGTCTGCCTGACGACGTTTTTGCTGGCGGCGAGCTGACTTGCTAGCCTGAATCTCTGATGGTACTCCAAGCCTCCTGGTCGTCCCACTACTCCGCTCGATCCTTACTCGCACCATCATGAAACCCTACCACCCTTACCGGTCAAGGTCAGCCACGACGAGGCTCGCGTGTCGTCGCCATGGCGGTGTCGCGGTCCGACCGAGTTCGTAGCAGCGCGACACGTTGAGGCAGGGGAGGCCGATGAGCCGGGGGGGAGGCGTATACAAGAAATGGTGACTGCGCGCTGTGTTTGGGGGGTGTTCTGCGGTGTTTCAGACTGAAGTGACAAATACGAGCCATCGTTCCTATCAAATTCGACACATCGGAACAACGAGCGCTGATACGCATGCTGCTGCCATGGCTGGCGGTGGATTCTCAGTCTTTCGGGTGCTGACCAGTGGCAGCAGCGGCTGTCTCATTTCCACAGAAGACATCGAAAATTAGCTTTGTATACCATCGGAATCATTTCTAAGTGGCAGCGGCAACTGTCCCTCTGACAGCAGTAACACGCGTCAACATGGACCCATGCCGAATCTTCCTTCCACCTCGGTGGCTTGTCTCAGTGTCGTGCCAACGATGCCGCAGCCGTCAATACACGCATGCATGGCACTCCGGCTTGCACGGCAGCCATGAATCACACTCACCCCCGCGCTGGACTCTCTGATCTGTCGTGTTGCAAAGCCCGCGCCTCGATAAACTTGAACGGCCTAGGTATACATGAGGCGAAAACCGCGTTCATCCGTTTGAAAATGTCGCGATTCACGACAATCCAACTACATCGATCTAGTAACCCGAAAGGTCACCTACCCATAGCAATTTTTACGAAGTTGATTGATTCGGGGTTTTCAAGGGGTATGGTGGTACCCTTATCCGTTTTATTCTCATTGGATGAAATACAGTACTGATACATGCAGTCACAACACAATTGTAACTAGAAAGAAAACCATGTATGTTATGTATTCAATTGTCGTAGATCAGCTACATCAGCATACCGTATCCTTCCATCCACCTTTGTCCAGAGCGTGAAATAGGTCAGAGGCTCTGGAGAAACCCCATTATCTGATCATCCTGGACTAAGCACTTACTCATGGCATGCATAGCCTGACCTGCCCTCATGACATGGGTGGCATTTTCTTCCCTCATGACAGGGGTAGCATCCCCTGCCTTCACCTGCATTATAGGCCCTTTGCTCGTCTCCCCCTACTTCTCCCAGCGAAACGACCGACCAAGAATGCAGTAGAATGTGAGGGAGGGGAACTGCTGGAGCAAAGATGCCAGGGCTCTGAGGCGCCACCGTC